GGTTATTCTTGCCTTTGAAGGATTCTAACTTGAGCTTCGGAGCCCTTACGCCGGGTTCTCCCCGGAGCTTCTCTTCTCCTCCCGTTTCAGGTCCCTGTTACTYABTTCRGAGRCAAGATCATYRACAGCTAAGACCGGCCAGATTGTGCATCATCAAAGCCCAATCCGAAACTTGGGTTACAATTTTATTAGCCCATCAGATCATCAATGCTACCTCAGTGAATTGAAAATATCTTTCTCTGCAAATGCTGTATAAGAAGATGAAACGTTATCCATTGTAACTGCAATGTAATGTAGGTAAACGGCAGGGAATCCGGACTCGATCAATGATGGGTATCCCAGCTGTGACTACCATGAGAACGGAATGAATGATAAAATCCACCCCATTAATCTAATTAGATTAATGGGTTTAAATTTTTTTTATTTAAAAAATTTTGTTTGTTCCTCTTTTCTTTCTCTTTCAAACGATGATAGGAAAAGGCTAATATTTTAAAAGCATATTGAACCAGACGGAGACATCCTAGGAAAATCTCTTCGTTCCCCTTTATTCATACATTTTCAAATTTGTATGGATAATTAAATAAAACTGGTCCAATGTGAAATAGGAAAATCTATGATGAACTTTGATAAATAACACCTGATTGATTATCAGATTTATGATTCCAATTGACTGGTAAGAAGTTTTTCAGATATGATATCTTTTCCAGTTGAGAGTTTATCACTTTTAATTGTATATTCAACATTGGCATCATGGACATTAAAGTGTAGGTTGCTTGGTCTTAAAAGGCTGAGGGACCTTGATTTCTTAGATCTTTGTTTATTGAAGAAATAGTTGTATCTTCCAACCTGAATTGCCCGTTCATCTGAGTTTGCAGGTCTGCCAAGAACTTGGTAGATAATCGAGAAATACTGTAACTTCCGTTAGAGTAACTATTTTCCATTAGAGTAACTTGGCAGGTCTGCCAATCTAAATTGTAATTCACATCTCTCTGAGACAAAGGGAAGGAAATACTGTAACTTCCATTAGAGTAACTGTCTTGGAAAGACATCTGATACCTCCGTTTGTCTTCTGACGGAAACGATTACAGAGATGATGACAGCGACGGAGGACAAAGAACGTCCAAATCTACGCGGCGGACGGGCAATAGACGTTAGAAAGCGAAACCCGAAACTGTCAAGTGGACCAAGAGGTGAAGAAGAGGTTGATTTTGCCAACGAAGTCAAAAGCAGATTCGATTATCACATGGCTCGAATCAAATAAAAACCAGTCGAAGTAGGAGGTTTTGGACTCGGAAGCCTTAAACCCACTATTTCAGGGTAAATAAATCAAATGCTTACATTCAGGTATGAAGCATAAAACAGGGTAATACGAGTTGTAAGGGATCTTCGACCTGTTGAAGATCCAGTGACTACTGACTGCCGGTGTGAGCTAGTAAGGGATCTTCTATCTGTTGAGAAACAGAAGAGAAGAGCAAAAAAAACATTGGAATAAGAAGAAGAATAAGGGATAATGAAATCGTTGGTTAACGTTATACTTTGCTGAGTTGATCGCATAAGTCTTGGTTCACGCGTCCAGTGCCCCACAACGCGGACTCCTCCACACATCGTGAACCGACATAATTTGTGGGCCAGCCCATCACATCGACAGTGGTCGAACCAGTTTAAAATAGCACCAGTTGTGGCAGTTAAACCAATCCTTGACCTTGAGCGCCATGACCTCCTTGATTTTTAAACCCCATTCATCTTTTCCGAAATCAATAATGATGGACAACCGTCTACCGACATCTTCTGTCAATCCGTTCGAATTTCCGATCCGAACTTTTTTGAACTAGTGAGGAATCAGGGACGGAACGAACAAAGAAGCTTCATTTTAAATAAGTTCAAAAAGGGGAAACTTTAAATACTTAATACGCAATTTGATTCCATAAAAGTTGTGTAAAAGTGCTAACCCCCTCTTTAATCAACCACAATTCCCACCATTTGAAAATTCAAACTTTTATAAATTATTGCTAAAAACAACACCTCGAATTGCATTAATTTATGCTAAACAAAACAAAAACTTTGCTTTGTAGCGAAAAAGCAAAAGCTTTACTTTTGCAGTTACATTATAATAACAATAATCTGCTCTAATCTGATAAATAAATGGTGACAAATGCATTAGATTTAGCCCCTAACCCCCAAACAACCTATAATATAATAAAAGTATAAACCAAACTTTGTCCTAGAAAGAGCTTTAATAATTCCTGGAAAAAAAAAAAAACAGAATATAATTTCGCAATCCTGTTGCTGGCTTGGCTTCCTGCATGAACATGAAAGAGACAAGGGTGGTACTAAAATCATCTCCTCTTTAATTGTGTTTAGTCGTTTTCGACGTTTCTTTCACCAATTGCCAAAAATAAGAATATACCTTCACCACGTTCAAAAAATCTGAAGCGTTTCCATCACTTTCTCTCTCACCATTTTTTTTGTCGTTTTCACAACGGTTTATACGCTTGTTGCGGAAACGGAAAAGCAAAAACAGGAATCCTGGACATAATTGACATTTTAAGGTCCTTGATGGTGTCGGAACTCAACTCGGAAATCGAAAGACCGAAGACCAGACCTCATCGGCGTTACACATTTCACGAAATTTTTGTTTCCTATCAGAGAGATAAATGAAAGAAATGATTCAGTCAAACAGGCACCATTACCAAAAACAAGTCCTACTCCCAATATCTGTGCTGTGCCAAATGGATGATGATGCAAGCCCCAAAAGTACGTATTTCGAAAACCCTACAATCATCAATCAAAAACCAAACCCTCTTCTAATCATTATGGATGGAAAAAATTCTTAATTCTAAACAAGGATCAAAGAGGACCCACCCATCTTTTCATATTAGAAGTAGGGCCTCCTTTTATTTTCCTTTATTCCATACCGACGGCTACTTTTAAATGTATACGAGAGACAACTGGCTGTGGAATTTTTAAACAGCGTAAAGCTTACTCCCCAACATCCCCCTCCATGACATAACGTAATGTTAAGTCTAACAATCCAACACAGTTCCTGCCACTAAGTCAATATGGCCATGATCTTCACACTTGAATTCGAAACAAACAGTTCCAGTATTGTTTTAAACGATACCCAAATGGGGACGGACCGGCCGGAGAGTTGATAGCAATTCACAAGATCAAAGTGAAGTTTCCTCTTCGTTTCTTTTAATCGAAACGTCATTGTTCTGTAAACAAAATTATCATCCCAAGAAAATTCAAATCAGATCTTGATTGTGAATTTACACGCAACACGTTGTGTGTTATAATCCTATTGGTTACACTGAGATAAAGAAACTGGACAACGCAACTCATCTTTAATTTACCATCTCCTTTGCAAGTAATAATCTCTCTCTGTTTCTCTAACAAACTCGGCAGATCTATCGAGCCTGCCCACTACGGCATTCTTAAAATTGATTGCTTCCTGAGCTTGAGAGCAGGAGCGCTGCATTCGAACTCCACTCAGACTAGCCCTTGATTCCACCATTTCGTTCAGTGAGAGCCTTTTCCTGGGACTCGGCTCTGGCCTCTGCTTTGGAGCACTGTGTGACCTAACTTTTGCTTTGAACGATTGTGTATTAGCCATGTAATTCGGGAAATTCGAATAACGCCGGAAGAAGCTGTCGGCACACACGCTCTTCGCGGGTGTGACGGGTGCATTCGACCCACCTGAATTTACAAACCGAGGGGTGCTTTGTGCTGTAGAGAACCTGCACTCATCTCCGGTGAAGCCCCAGTCCAAGTCTTGAAAATTGCGGCAATCTGGAATGGACAGACGAGCAGGAATTTGGCACGGCAAAGGAGAAGAAATCGTTAGGTAAGGTGGGTCTTCTCCGCATTCCGACATTGAGGTGTTTGTTCTACGAGATCTCGACTTGGGTCTTCCAGTATCGATCTCAACGATTTTAGGACTCTCTTCAAAGGTGTTAATTGCAGTCTCAATGGATGCCGATAGCCTCCGACTGTGAATGGACGCTGTGTGCTCGCTTCTGGTTTCGTCGAATCTTTCCTGAAAAATGACAAAAAGGGGAGAGTTGAGACGAAATGCTTACTAACACAATAGAACCACTGTACAGCAATGCCAGATTTTCCAATTCTCGCCCAGGATTAAGATTCTTACAATGGATTTACGCGGGGGGTATCTGTGCTCTTTGTTGACGACAGCACGAGATTTCTGGGCTCGGACGGTGGCCTGGGCTCTTATGAGAGCTTGCATACTGTGAAGAGTTGCAGTGGCTTGCTTACGCACCAGATAACCTCTAACAAGAGCCTGCAACTTTACTAGTCCCTTCAGAGCTCGAAGAGCTTTTTTTGCCTGAAACAGTTTGAACCGAAACAAACACATGAACTCAGAAAGAAGAACAAGTTGAAAATAACCAATTAGCAAATACGGACTATGGAAGAAAAAACAGAAGCAAGCCAGCTGAAAATGAATCAGAGAATTAGACCACTAAGCACAAGTGTTGTGCCAGATTAAGAATATGAAGAGCACTCGAAAGTAGTAGAATTAGTCGGGACCAAGGCAACTAAAAAAAAAAACCAGAGGCAGGGAAACTAATCAGACCAAATTTGAAAAAACTACCACAAACTCAGTTTCCAAGATAGAGAAGAAGGGAACAAAAAGATACAGATAAGACAAGAATCCGCTGATTTACAAAATCAAACAAAGAATATAAAGGATCCTAAATACGAAGAACAATTGCTAGGCTGCTAGCTACAGATTCAGTTAAGCATAAGAGAATCAGACGAAACAGGGAAAGATCGATATCCAGATGAGAAAGAAAGAAAGAAACGCGTGACAAACCTAGACGAAACAGGTAAAGATGAAAAGCACACACTTACCAAATATCCCCGGAAAACAGTCTGGATCTTTATCGCGGCCCACTTTTCCCGCCCACCACCAAACATTGTCCCTCTGCCCTGGCTTGTAAGCCTCACAACGGCCACCGCCGCCTGCGCAGCTGCAACGGCAGCATCAGCTGCGGCTGCCGTGGCCGCAGCCACCGCAATTGCGTGCTTGTTCTGATCCTTCTCAGTCTCGGTGTAATAAGACCTCAACCAAGCAGCATCCGCTTGACTTATGCTAGCCGGAATGCTAGACGAGATCTGACCCATTCCCCCCGAATCCCTCCCTGACTTGCCAAAACTCCATCTTCTCTTATCTTTCCGGTCGGTGGAGCCAGAATTCTCCTTCTGTTCCTTATCTTTCTTCATCCCCAACAAACCCCTCAACCATCTCGTCGCTCTCCCCATATTCAGATCGATAATAAAAAGAACTGAACAAATATGGAGGAAGATATTAACTTCAACGAGCCCTACAGACAGAGAAAGACGTTAAGGAGTGAAATATAGAATAAAATAGGTGGTTCAGAGAAAAACGTTCTTAAAGCGATCGAGGATCTTTCCATGTTGCGAAACACTGAACTGACGAGTAAAGAGTGGAGGAAAAATTAAACAAACTCGGTATAAAAATGAAGAAAATGAAAAAGGGATAAAGATGACGGAATTTTGAAAAATAAAAACCTGTCAAGACCTCGTGAAAAACTGCACTACAAGACAAAAAGTTGTCACAGAGAGAAACAAGGGTTAAAGAATAAAAGCTTGAAAACTCAAATTAAACAAACAAAATGGAAATTACAGCCAAACCCCAGCAAGATGGCCCATTAAATAATAGAAAGAAATCATCTCAGTGAGAGTGACTAACCACCTTAAATAAATTCAGAAAGTAAAGTAAAAAAGATGAAAAAAGGAAAAGCTCGAGTTTTTCCATCGTCCAATAAGAAACTAAGTAAAGCTTCAAAAAAAGGCTCACCTTCTTCACTTTCTCTCTCACTCTCTCTCCCTCTGTATATTACTTTATCACACTAAAACTTTCTGGAGCGACGTGTCCTCAAAAAAGAAAGATACCTCAGCGTTCTCAGCAGCTGACAATCTCGTGAATCTCTTCAGTTTTTTTTTTTTTTTTTCTATTTTCTGTGAGGTCTGGAACAGTTCTTTCTTCTTTAACGCATGCAAAAGAATAACAAATTTACCCTTTTGTCCTCGTGTTTCTTTCTGCAACTCTTTTTACTTGCTTTCCAACTCTTTAGAAGAGCCCAAATATCAAACGGAGAAATGGGTATCAGAACAGAGCTCTACTGTATTTCTGAACCTCCATTAGAACCCAGCCAATAAGAGGGCGTTTCCTTTCTTCTCTGACCCTAATGATTTATCAACGCCTGCAACTTCTTTCTCTCTTTTAGGTTGGAGAAAATCTGTCTATTGCTTACCGTATCTTACTGCGATTTCAGTGATTTTTCACTGCTCTTCGATGATTCGTTTAGTATTTCTGCCGCTCTCTCTCTCTCTCTGCACGAGAATCTCTGCACCGAAGCTTAGTTGGTGGAAACAGTTCTCGCGACGACCTCAGCACATCTGAGTCGTTTTATAGAGTTTAAAAAAAAAAAAAAAAAAAACAGGCTTCTTCCTTTGAAAAATATAAAAAATAAAAAATATAGAATTAAATACCTAGAAACCTTAAATTTTAATTAATTAACAAATTAGACCCCCTATTAAGGTCTCGTTGACATAGGGGTGTTTATGTAAATGTAAATGGATTCTCATCCATCATCGTTTATGTAAAGACGCGTATCCCATCCCTTGTTTTATCACCCTTTTAGATGACAAAATCCGAAGGTGGGCTATGCAAACCCCCCTTGTTTTTTCCGGAATTTACGAAATATAACCAGTTCACTTTTACAAAACCCATGAAAATTTTCTTATCTACTACGGAGGGTACCCGAACTTAGGATCGAAATATGATATACTTGGCAAGGGTATTGTGGTAATTTGGGAACTCAACCCAAGCCAAGCAACCGGGCGAACAAGTATAACCCTAGGATGGTCCGGTCCAGTCAGGCAGTCACCACTCACCAGTGTGGCCACCATTGAACTGGTTACTGCCACAGGTGCCAGCTGGTGGGCCCCTATGTTCGTTATGACTTATAACTCTAAGTGAGACATATATTCAGAGTTGGATCAGAATCAGATGGAATGACCTTAACCATCAGATTTGGACAGGGGAAGGCACACTAAGATCATCTGTTGAAGATAACATTGGGCTAATGGGACGGTTGTGATTGGCTCTAAGATTATATGCGCCACACGGCCCACACCCACACCATCCATACCAAACCAACCGCGTTAGTAGTAGTAGTACGTAAGAGAAGTACTTGATGGTGGTGGGGGAAGATATAAGTAATGATAGAGATGTTGACGGAAATCAACGGTCGGGGCGATGAAAAAAAAAGAATATTGAGGAGTTATTTGAAATTCCCGCGTATGGGCGAGAATCTTGCATAAAATTTGAATACTGAGGAGCATTTAAACTTGAGAGTTTAAAATCGGAAAATAAAATTAATTAATTTGAGTTACGAGTTACGACGACAAAATCCCTGCATCTACTCGAAATCAAAATGCGAAATTATTATTATTTATTATCACTAAACTATTGGTAGATCATAATTAGATTTGGAGATGGAACACGAGGAGAGGAGACCTTAGCCCTAGGATATCGCCAACAACGGTAACGGTTGTGTCTCGGGTCTCGGGTCTCGGGTCTCGGGCTACGGCAACTACAAGGCCGTAGCCCGTAGATGGGGACGGGGTATGGGCCCCAGCCGCACGCGGCCAGGAACTTGATCCTGCGCCCCAAATTTCAGAGACATCAGTGCTGACCGTTAATAATGGGCCCCGCCTAAGGGATTGACTGGGTGGGGTAAAGAAATAAAGAAGCAGGTAGGATGCACCAGACAGAGAGGGAGGGTTCCGAGTTTCAACTTTCAACCCCGTATGATATGATCCATGCATTCATTACTGAAAAGGTGACTCTCACGGCTGCACTCTGCAGAACGGCTTCCTAGTTCCTTCCTGCCTTGAGCTACTATTCTAATTTCTAAGCTGACTTCGGATTTTCAGGCTGGGTCTGGTTTTAAATCTAATCTATGGACCCAAGTTCAAATCCATTGCGGGCCGGCAAATAGATGTGATGTCCATTGTCCAATAAATAATATTAGGAGACATGCTTAACCCAATATTTATTGGGCTGTGAAATGCTCCAAATCCAATATTACTTACTAGGCTGTGGGCTGTGGGCCTGCGTCTCTGTCTTGTACCCAATATTAGCTTCAATCCTTAATAGTCCAATTGGTGCATCAAGATCAAACATTGGGATTGGATCATCCAATCCAAGTGATGTGCTAGCATCATATCCAACGGCTATGATTTTAAATTGTGAAGATTGAATCTCCTGTAAGATGGGGAACAAACAACAGACAACTTCCAATAATGGTTCTAAAATCTCACAACGTTTCCATTTGGAGAAAGGGGGTGCTCCATAGTCCATACAGATTACAAAAAGATGAAATATAATGCTCTGACCTCTAACTTCCCGTCGGCAATAAATTACATCAATAGTAACTTGGGCTTGATTCGTATGGATTCCATCAACAAGACATTTATGGTTATTAAATTCTTATTTAGAGCATGGTACAATTCAAGGAAGTTGTCAACTGTCTCAAATCTGAATTGGTAAGGCTTCTAGCCGGTTGTTAAAATGGAGACTTGGTGCCCGTTCGGGAGGGTGATGAATGCGCGGCCTGTAAACTGTAAATGGGTCAAAAGAACCATGGATATACAAAAATAAATGGCATGGGCACCCACGCTGACTGCAATTAATGGCGCTATTTGTTCAATTGACTTTGGGAGAGTGGTTAAGAAGAAAGAATACTGAAGAAAACATCCAGACGCTTGAAGAAAAACATAGCCCCAGGTTGGGTCTTTCAAGGAGAAGGAGGTGCTTGAGAAAATTTCCATGTAGATCTTCAAAGGAAAGCCAATATGACAATCCAACCATTCATAAGGCTCTGCACAAAGTTAAAGGATTAAAAACAAATAATTATATCAGACATGGAGGCAGAGCATCACTCTTATCACTTCAAAATAAATTGGATCATTTTTAAATTGGTTTAAAATAGTTAGTTATAGACTTATAGCATAAAAGCAATTCAAATATTTGCCCAACAAAGGATTTGAAATGGGTAATTAAGTACCATTTCCTAAAGTCACCATTAGCTATCTCAGCTATGGGTGTTGGCAGTTAAGGATTCCTAGGTCTTTCAAACTGATCAAACACATCTTAAATAGAAGTTTCTTTTCCTTTTCTTTTTGTGAAAGACTATAAAGGCTATAGTCAAAGTTGAGTTCATTATTGACGTTGGAAAATTAAACATCTCTCTCTTTCTCTCTGTGTGTCTTCAAATCAGCTAAAGGATGTTCCATAGATTGTAATTTATAATCAAGGCTTTGAAGGGTTCTTTATGCTCCAAGGCTATATAGAAGGAATTGGGTATCAAATAGGGTCTCTAGTGCACAAAAGGAAATAAATAACATTGTCATTGCAAAAAATCAAGTGTTGATGTAACTTTTTGAATACTTCAAACAAATTTTCTCTGCCATTTGAGATGAAATGACTCATCTAATGGTGCACTAAGTCCAAGTGTAGGTCATCTTAGTAATATATCTCTATGTTAGAATTGGGACGTTTAGGTGGCACTTGGTTCATTAGTTGGTCTATATATGCAAGGGTGGACTCAAATTGAGCTTTTCACGAGTCATTCAAATTTGGCTCGTGAAAAACTTGATTCGATTTGATTTAAATCAAGCTTCAAACCAATCTCAAGCCCAAGCCCAATGTATAGGCTCATTTGTTAATCAAGCCAAACTCAAGCACAATAAAACTCATCTTGTAAGGCTTGAGAGGTTAATTGAGTTTATATTATATTATATTATATATAAAATAAAAAACATCTTCATATGTATAATTTTTTACATGTATAAATTTTCATTTTTTTATTGGGAGCTTGGCTCATAGTCGAGCTCGAGATAGAATCACATATTTTTCTGACAAGTCAGCATCAAATAATCAAATATTTGGCTTGGCTCTGCTGGAATCCATTCCAGGTTTATAGTAAGTCATTTAACAAAAGGTAACTTATCACTTAGGTTAGTTTTCATTAGTCATATGGAAGTTTTACTTGGCCTGTTTTACTTAAGCTTACTTATCAAAGCTGTTTTATGGATGGAAAACCAAATTCACATTTTTATTTTTATTTTTCTACTAATAGTTAGTTGATATAAATAGTAAAAGGTATTAATCTATAGTGAACCAAACTACCCTTCAAAAACATATTGCTATTTTGCTTCTTTAACCATGGAATGATAAAAACAATTAACCCTGACAACATTCGCTCACAGGGTTAATTCAACACCATTAATTACTCCAACGTGACCGTTTCCTTTGCCCAAATTGTTGCGGTAATATGAAATCAAGGCTCCATTTGTTTGCATTCAAATCCAAAGTAGGATGCAAACTTTGCACTTTTAGTCTAACTAGGAACCTAGGATCCATTGCAAATGTTGCACCTCGAAACATGCAAAATTTGCACCACTTTCCTACCTTCATTCTCTCATCTAGAGTGGGTTCATTTTACTCTTCTAAAATAGGCAACTTCCTCATACCTTCATTTGTTTATCCTGAAAAGGTAAGATTGGATTTGCACCAAGGTCATTTGCACTCTCATACATACATCTCCACTGATACAAATGAAATTTCCATATTTCTGTTAGGTTTAGATATAATTTACAAGCCAAACCAAGTCCTAATAGAGATTGTGATAAGATATATAGAGAATAGAACATATCAGGGTATTTATTTCCTTTTGTGTATTTGTTTTTGGGTTATTTAAATTGTCTAGGAGGATCATCCTTCCAAATTGAAGTTTTTTCTTGGAAGTTTCAACCTTATTGACCTAACACGGTCATGGCGGTTTTCAACATGTAAAATGAAAATCCCTAAATTGCAGGAATATGTAAAAGACGTTTAAAATGTAAACATAGTGATGACTAAAATTAGTATATACAAGTATATTAGAAATTAGAAAGAAAACAAAAATTGTTTTGACAAATTACACAATATTAATATTCATGTATTTTATTTGTTTATATTTTGTTTTTTATAGAAATGAAAATGAATAGCATATTTTAATACATGAAAAGCTAAAGATATGGCTTACTTAATGTTGTGTCAATGTAACTTGTAGTTACATTTTTTCCTTCTGATATGTATAACTCCATCCTTATCTTAATTCCATATACCAGAGTGTGACATGTTCAGTACTGCACATGCAAGTACTTTGGAGTTTAATAGGAAGGACAGAACCACAGAGGAATAGAATGAGAGAGTACTGTTATCTATGTGGGGGGTGAGAGGTAACAGTTTCACAGTTATTCAAAGTTATATATTCTTGAAGGGATGCATGGGAAGAAGGAATAGAGATTA